CAGTATATTATTTGCACATCTCAAACGCTTCCCTTTTGCTTCGATGGGTGATGAAGATATGTTCAGTATGGAGCAAAATCGCATTGCACCTGTCTGTGCGCTAGTTTTAGGGATCCGTACGTCAAAATTCTCAACCCTTATAGAAGTACCTATGTCAAGATCCTTTTTCTCGGGAATTCCTGTCGCGTGGAGATATGAAGCTAATATTAATATCAAATAAATTCCAAGGTCTGCCAGTTTTTTAAAGTTGAATTAATTATTTTTATGGACTGGTATGCATTCTATATAAAAACCGTAAAATTCTAATACAAGAAACGACAAAAATAAATTAATTAAAATTAGAGCAAAAAATAGTAAAGAATGTACTATATATAAACCCTTTAATAAAGTGAGCGTTTTTACCCGTAAAAATATTATAGGTACTTATTTGAATTCAGAAAAAAAACTTTTTTTTTTAATGGTTAATTTTTCGACAGTAGATCATAGGGTCGAATCTATCAGCAGTGACCTAAATAATTATGTCTTTAAGGCTGGGAACATATGGATGGTTTCCTGATTCGAACCAGAAAATCCAAGAATACTTATAATAAGCCAACGTTTTTTTTTCGCAATCTTACTGAGTTAACTCGCGTTTTCGCAAAAATCCTACTTTAGCAGAAATGACCTCGCAAGTGGTGTCGATGCTAGCATGATTCTCTAAACCTAAACTTAAATTTGACAGCAGTATATCCTTGTCATCTCTCTGTCTGTCATCCTGTCTCTATACAGAATGAAAAGGAGAGACTGATGTTAAATTTAGTTTTAAGTTTAGAGAATCACGCCAGAATTGGCACCATAATCTAGTTACATATTATTATCCGTGTTTTCACAAAATCCCCAGGATTTTCGCGAAAATTGGATTTATCATATCATCCTACGGCTTAACTAAGCCTAGGATTCCTAATGATATTCTCGATTAGCCTCTAAATAAATTTCAAATACACATTAAAAATTGCTTGCTTGAGAAAGGATATTATACTGTTAAACAATATTTTAATAATAAACCCGACTGGTCGTAACTTTTAGAAAATTTTTAAAGTTATATTACACTTAAATCTAAAGAAAGTTTTCTTAAGGTTTAAACGTCTAGCAGTTTAGTGCTTATAAATAAAAATATAACTATAATTGCTATTTCTTCTTTCAAATCTATACTAATATTATAAAGAGGAAAGATTTGATTGTTTGTATGATCGTTTGTATTGAATAGGCTCCGAAAGTGCTGGACCAATTTGTAAAATTCTTTCACATTTAGAATCCTACATTATCCCTGATAAACATAGGCTATAGAGTATTTTCAAAATAGTTAGGGTTCCGTATGAAAACCTCGATAATGTAAACTCTGGGTGGGAAAAAACACCAAAAACTAACCTTATATCGCTTACACTACGGAAGTCATTGACAAAAGTGATTTAAAGTGAAGATTTTATAAGGACATCAATACCTTCAAAAATGTCCACAATACTATATGTCTAAATATTACAGTAGTATGTCACAATAAGAAGTCCCCTGCGTTTTCACCCGCGAAAATTTTAGGAAAAAGGTTATATAGTGTGTCAAACTTAATAGATGGACGGACATATGCTGTCATAGACCTTTTTATGGAACTTTTAAAGAGGAATATTTATGTCATACATGATTTTTATCACACAGTAACCGTTTACGCAGCACACGCAATGGAAGCTCACAAATAGAATATATATTTCCCGTTTTTGCAACATTTTTCATCGATGTACCACTCCCACTGATCGTAGCGTGATGTAATTATATAGAAAAAGTCATTGTGTATAATACAAGCTAGAGAACAAAAACTATAGTCTATACTAAAGCTCTAAACCGAAGCGAAGCGAGGGCGCGCCATCACACTAATATTATAAAGGCGAGAGTTTGTGAGTGTGTATGTTTGTTACTTCTTCACGTCTAAACGGCTTAAGCGATTTTAATAAAATTTAGTATGGAGTTAGCTGACACCCTTCGACGACCTCCGTGGCCGAGTGGTTTGTACGCCGGGTTTCATGGATGTCGCCGACTCGAGAGGTCCTGGGTTCGAATCCCGGTGGGGGCAGATGTTTGTGTGATGAATACGAGCATTTGTACTCCAGTCATGGATGTTTAATATGTATTTATATAAATACACTTATATATGTACAGTATATGTATCTATCCGTTATCCTAGCATCCCATAACACAAGCCTTATAGTGCTTACTTTGGGGCTAGGCTAATTGATATATTTACAAACAAAGAATCAAATCTTTCGTCTTTATTATATTACTAGCTGTGCCCCGCGGTGTTACCCGCAGTTTATTAGGGATATTTACCCGCAGTAAAACGTAGCCTATGTGTTAATCCAGGGTAAATAATAATAATAAATAATATTTATTATTATTATTTACCCTGGATTAACACATAGGCTAAATAATATTTATTATTATTATTTACCCTGGATTAACACATAGGCTACGTTTTACTGCGGGTAAATATCCCTAATAAACTGCGGGTAACACCGCGGGGCACAGCTAGTAATATAATAAAGACGAAAAATAATATTTATTATTATTATTTACCCTGGATTAACACATAGGCTACGTTTTACTGCGGGTAAATATGTCGGAAATATTTATTTATTATTATTATTTACCCTGGATTAACACATAGGCTACGTTTTACTGCGGGTAAATATCCCTAATAAACTGCGGGTAACACCGCGGGGCACAGCTAGTAATATAATAAAGACGAAAGATTTGATTCTTTGTTTGTATTAAATAGTCCGATACTACTGGACCGATTTGAAAAGTTCTTAGATACCTATTTAGAATATTACATTTTTCCTGTTTTAATTGCAGATTAATGATTCAATTAATTCAAATAATAAACAATTCACACGTCAAATATTAAATTACCGCCGGTCTCCCGCCGACTGAATAAAAGAATATTAAATTGATTCTTGTAATCGTCGTTGGTATCTTTAACTTATGTATGCAGTAGTGGTACATTACATCTTATATACATATATAAAATTCTCGTGTCACAGTGTTAGTTACCATACTCATCCGAAACGGCCTGACCGATTTTTATGAAATTTTATATGCATAATCCGTGGGTCTGAGAATCGGCTACTATCTATTTTTCATATCCTTATGTGATAATGGTTGTCCACCTGTATATTATAGGTTTTAGAACACTACGTTTCTAAAACCTACAATGCGCCTTCGCGCCAAAATTCAAACTATAGGGTATTGTAACGTAGTGTTCTCATATGGGTTAGGAGAATGTTATCCCAGGAAATTGATAGAACACTACGTTACACACCCCTAAAAAAATATTGGACAATTTTTTTTTTTTATAATGTGGTATTAAAAAATACAAAAAACCCTCAATTTTCTCTTTACTTCTACCACCTGCCCCTATTTTTATGGCGGTACGAAGTTCGCTGGGTCAGCTAGTATGCTATAGATTTGATGAATCATTAAATAAGTACATTTGTGATAAATTACATGTTATTACCTAAAAGTCTAATACTAATTACACTAGGATAATGATATCGGTATTACCTAATACATACATTATTCTTAGTGTAATTAAATAAAATTAATGATTCCAGAACACATTTTTTCACTACATTTAGCAATGTTGTAAGTAACTACTATTACATCATTGCTAAAAATATTGTTTGTTAGAAATGTGGTATTATTTTACATTAAGGCTGGGTTGGATTTATAGGGGTAGAGGACCTATTTTTATTTATTACGCAGGCAAAACTTTTATTTACAAACGTTGGCGCCCTTTAAAGTGCACACCAACAAACGGCCTCACACTTAGCCTCTCGCAAGTCTCACGGTTTACGAGAGCTTACGGAATACTTTCCGCCTGCGAAAACCCTCTGCGCTGCCGCAGCTCTGCTGCAGCTGGTCGCTCGCCCCGTTCCCTGGCTTCGACCCGACCTCAATGCACGTCTGCCAGGACCTATGCATTGAGATACCACGGCGCGTCACAACTGCGAAGTCGTGATGACCTCTGCACAGGGTGCAGCAGGGCCACCGTGTGGGGCTTGAGGCACTCAGCCCAAATCGGGGCCCGTAGAGATGAGGTGTGGAGGAACTGGGGCATCGTAGGAGTGAGGGCCCCTACTACGGCGAAGTATTTACCCCTGGTTGGTGCCCTGTCCTAAAATTGGTTATTTTGTATCCCTGTTGTGGAGGCCCCTTTCTTGTGGTCCAGGCCCCTGGACTATAGCCCCGTCAGCCCTGCCTGAAATGCGGCCCTGTGCATGTACAGACAGAGGGCGGTATTAAGTTACATAGTACAAATAGCAATATCGTTTAATCTGAATCAGAGGAAAATTGTGTTCTTTTTATGTTTGTAACGAATAATAATTAACTCAAAAAACGATGAAGCAAGTTCAAATATTATTTCACCATTAGAATACCTACCTACTACGTTATGCCTGGCTTCAATAACATGGTTTATATTTTATATAATTATACGGACTGAAATAAAGTTCTGCCGCGCAACGCCGGGGCGGATTTCTATGCTAGTAGATATTTTTATTGCCTATATTATTAAATAAAGGCAGACATAGCATTATCTTTATTTAGTAAAACTTGTAAATTATAATGCCCATCAATTTAATTCAATTCAAAAGTCATTTATTCAGTTTAGGCTTTTACAAGCACATGTGAAAGTGGAAAACTACGCCATCGGTTCGCAAAACTACGGCGGCAGACCTTGTACTGAGAAGAACGGCAAGAAACTCAGCAAGGGCTGCTTTTTCCCTTGTTTATCAATCATCATCGTCATTCAATGCAAAATTACGGTATTTGCCATCACTATAGCAGTTCGGAAAACAATAACAAATAACAATGATGAAGTAGTATAAGTATGCCACTGTACCCTAATTTGCAAACACATCTGCGTTGTCTTTGTCGCGACACCAAACGTATTGTCATTGAGCATTGCCCCCTTATTCCGGCTCGCATTCCGCAAGCGGCGCGCGCGCTTGACAATCGTATTCGTGCAAGCCTTGTGCGTGCGGGCGGCGTGCAGCACTCAGCCAGTTTAAATTTGGCGCGCCAATAGTAGTGGTCAAGCCGCGCGCGCTCGTGATTGGCAAACAAAGTTGAACGAAACGAAAAAAGTTCCCTTGTGTTTTGTTTTTATTGTGGGACTTGTTTCTTGGCCGAGGACAGTTATTTAGTTAGTTTTACATTATTTATTAGCGTAAGATAGTAAATAGGAGCTAGTGTAGTTTAACCCATCAATAAACAGTTTAAAAGTGAATAAATTATGTGAGTGACCCGTTGTGTGGTGATTTTTCGTCTGCAATGGGATCAGCGGGAAGTTTTTAAAAGCTCATTCTATATCCTTTGTTTTAAAACGTGGACACCTACGCTACGCTAATGCTCGTGTGACTCGTAGTACGTACGATATACTACGATACGATAGACATTATTTATTTACAATGGACGGGGAACGAAAAATACACATGAGCGAAGATGTCCCATTGAACTCAACAGGTGCGGCAAACATATTTTTGAACACCGGCAAAAATACTAAGTTAAATTCACCAGATGGGACTGTCATTCATCTCAAATCAGGTGACTTTTAAATACTTAAACCACTTGCAAAGCGTCACATTTAGGAATAATCACTTGGACGGGTTTGAATTAACGTGTTCTTTTTTATTGTAGAGAAACCCGCCGACCTCGGGGTCCACATCAACACGACTTTTTCCGTGGCGTCTTCCAAGAAAATAAGGCTTTTGTTTGTCCTGAACTTTTTGTTAAGTGTAATATGTATGATACTAAGTTGTTCCATTGCTTTTTACTACTGGAACGAAATGATATCCATGAGACAGCAGCTAGATTCATTAAAAGAGCAGTTTATGATGCACAGTTTAGGGCAGGATAAAATCCAAAGCAGCCCTCTCGTGTCATTCCAAAGACCACTGCCCAGCAGTGAAATTAGACATCCAAGGATGGAAGGCAGCTCCAAAGACGTTAATCCTTTGAACCCTAGAAAGTATTTTGTCGAAGACCTTGGGGATGACATGCTCCTGGTGGATTCCAGCAAAAGAAATCCCAGTAAGGAACTCTTACCATCTATGGACATGATGCAAGCAAAAAAAGGTAAAAAAACTAAATTATATCAAAAAACTGCCTTTTTCAAATTGAGCGGTGTGTGTTAACCAGCAGGCATTTTTGAAGCTAATAAAAATGATTTTTGTGCACCAATGTTAAAGTATGATTGTGAAAGCAGAAAGTAGTGACCATTGGTCAGACAGAAACAAACTTTAACATGAGTTCATAGAACAAATATTTGCTTGCTTCAAAAATGCCAGTTGGTCGCTCTCTACCTAACAACGCTCAATTATTGTAATTAAATTCTTACAAATCATATACACATAATCAAAACATGTGTTGTCTATATCTGTTTCAGAGCTACTTATAGTCCAATTCAATGGTGCCAAAAAAGAGACCCATATGGGGTCACAATGTAAGTTATTATCTTTATTTATTTGTATAATTTTAAACTTCATATTACAAGTGTTATATATCAAAACGGTCTGTACATTTCAACAACATAATATTGATATCAGGACAGAATTGAAACCATACACCAATATAAAAAAGCCATTATTACAAAAAAAAACATTATTTTACAACAACTTAAGTATTAATATTTAATGTCTCAGTGTAGCTTTCCTATTTTTATTTAATACTATACAAAATTTAAATAGTATCCCTTATAAATATCGAATTAAAGTTCAATATTGTAGCAATAAGGCCGTCCTGCAAGTATGTAATTAGCATGATAATTTATGTATCTGTCTGTATACACCAATCACAGGATGTGTGGCTCAATGCCCAGATATTTGTAGTATTCTACATATGAACAGATTATAATTATGTCCATATGGTCATTTGAGATAATACTTGATTGAAAAAAAAATACACATTCATCCATGTTCTTTAAAACAAAGGGTAGTGTTTATTGAAAAGAGACAAAAACATTTTCATTTGCAAACATGCAAAAGTGACATCTATTATGCAGCTTTAATGTATTAATATTGACTGATGCAATGGTCACTTCGCTGTACGCATTCTCTTTGATTGTAATTAATGTTTTCTCTAATTAAGATAGCAGACAGTCAAGTAGAGGATAGTCCACTACCCAATCTTGAATCAAGACATATATTGACTATACAAATTATGAGGTCTCTCATTACCTATTGGTAATGAGAGACCTCATAATTGAAGCATAATAATGCCTCATTACCAAAAAAATTACCTACGATTAGACGACCTCCGTGGCCGAGTGGGTTGTACGCCGGGTTTCGTGGTGTTGCCGACTCGAGATGTCCCGGGTTCAAAGCCCGGTCCCCACAGAGGCCCCCGCAGATGTTTGTGTGATGAATACGAGCATTTGTACTCCAGTCATGGATGTTTATATGTATTTCTATAAAAATATACTTATTTAAGTACAGTATATGTATTCTATCCATTACCCTAGTATCCCATAACACAAGCCTTATAGTGCTTACTTTGGGGCTAGGCTAATTGGTGTAAGTGTTGGAAATATTTATTTTATTTATTCATTATTTACCTAATTTATATCTGAACTTTAAATTTTTTTCTAACATTACATAATTAGCGTCATAAAGTCGTCTTTCGGTAGTTCCCGCATGTTTTTGCTTAGTAATTAGTGATAAAGAAACAATAGAGTTAATAACATGCTAAGACGGGACTTTTTCTTATTCCCTATAAGTCAATATAAAACAATGCTTTATAGATAATAATTTAGTAAAAAAAAAAATATCCTACTTAAAGTACTTACCAACCCTACCTACTAGGTACTTATTTGAATATTTATTAAAATTGGTTAAATAAATTATTACTCTGCAATTTTTTGAGACTAAAATAACAAAGTCGGCCAGTAAGAAGAAACTTTAAAAACTATTAAAAAATATCTCATAAAAGTCACATTCCACTCACTTATTCGACTGTATTTTGAGATATTTTGCGACATTGGTCGATCTTCAGTGCCACAGTTCAATGCTCTTAGGGCTACGAAAACAAACATCGCTTTCGAAAAATTCCTTATCTATAACAATATTTAATAGACTTCTGCGTATTTCTAAATTTAAGAATCTATCGATACTATATAATAAAACTTATCAACATACATTATTTACAAATTCAAATATTAGTTAGTCTTAAGCGTACTTAAATCAATAAAAAAACAAAAAATCAGTAAAGTAAAGAATATGTTCTATTTCTTAATTTTTAGTGGTTTTGTTTTTAATGAAGTCGGGTTTTACTTTTGTTAAAAAAGTTTTTATTTTCCACTTTTTATAAGCTAATCGAGTTACATCAACTAACCAAGTATAAGCACCGCCATTTGCCTAACGGAAATGCTTTGGAAAACGCTAACGCTTTCGATTTCATTTTGTTATTTCTGACCGCCGAAGGTTTTCAAATACCTCACGCTCATTTTTTTAATATTGATATTACCAATGCAAAAGAAAAAAAAGAGCGCGAGGCATTTGAAAACCTCAGGCGGCTAGAAATAACAAAATGAAATCGTATATCGTTAGCGTTTTCCAAAGCATTTCCGTTAGGCGAATGGCCCCCTGGCCTGCATTATTTTTTTTATATCTCTTAAAATAACCAAACGCGCAGACCCCTCTTTCCCAGTGGGCACTTTGGGCAAGTGCCCAGGGCCCCGCGATCGATAGGAAGCCTAGACCCTCTCCAGCCCAGGCCTCAGCTCAAATACAAAGTCCCTAGTTCCTGTCAGATCACCAAACGATAACCAATATTTATTACCAAAAAACTTATATAGGTAATTAGGTAAAGGTAATTCGATGAAATCGAACCTAAATTACTGACAATAATACCAACTTACTAGTTTTTACATAAGCGGTGTTTTTCTAAAAATTAGGCTTTCCGACTTCAGCATGCTTAGATAAATTTAAATATACATATAATGGTATACTAAGCACATACACATTTTAAAGAAAAATCATCAGTACTACACTCATCAGTGGGTCCCATTATCCTAATATGCCCAGGGCCTCCAATAGGTTAAAGACGGTCCTGCAAACCCGAATTTAGTACTGTTTGTAATTGAGGAGTTCCGTTGTTTTCTCCGAATCATTAGGTCTCCACCAAATCAATAAGGGACCATCTCGCTAATACATTGATTGATTCAAACTAAAAATAATCATCAAAATCTGCCCTCGCATATCGGAGGTATGCGCGAACAACAATTAAAAATATAGTGTTGAATTGAGAACCTCTTCCTTTGAAGTCGGTCGGTAAAAAAAGACGGTACCTATTTGTACCGTGATCAATGTTTGTCAGTATTTTGCTCTTAGTTTATTACTTGAATTATCAGAACATTGCAAACTTCTTAGAAGCTACTAAGCTGCTATAATTTGGTGGCGAGTCACAATAAATCATTTAGGTCGCCGTGATTACATTACCTATCATGAATCGGGAACTATCAACACAACACAGAGATCTCTCTCTCATAAACCTAATAATGAATGGGATGACACAATGCGTTGATTCTCACAAAATGGCCAAAATGAAGCGCGCTAAATAATAAATGCAATTTAAATAACGAATGTCATAATCGATTTGCGAATTAAGAAATCCACAAATATCCCGAGGTTTTTTTACTCTCAAGCCAATGTATAATATATGTATGGGAATTCCCTTACATTAGTAATTGGTTGAATCTAAGATGTGGTTTCGAAAACATTAGCATGATATGAGTAGGTTACAGCTCATCGGCTTTAATAGTATCCACATTTGCCTTTTTCGTTGATATGCATGTAAAGTACGCAGCTGGCGAATCTATATCTTACCCCTCATAGTCCAGTAAGGCAGGTGAACCTACATAAAGAGTAGTGTAGACGTTTTCAACAGTTTCTTAATTCCATAGTTTTTAACAGAGTGGAATAATAAGAACAGTATTATCCAGTTCAGTACTGTATTGATTTGCTGAATTACTGGACTGGAATAATTTTAACCGGGCATGGCAAAGATGAATATAAATAATCACCTACACGCGTTAGAAAGCTTTACTTACACGTAGTAAATATTATGTACTATGGCATAAGTATTATACGAATGGTGTTTACAATATTTTACACGTGCGCTACTGTGTAATAATATGATTTAATAGGTACACATTTTATTTATGGCAATGTGGTGGCATATCAAATGTTCACCGGAAACGTTTAGCGGACGCGGACTTAGCACCACATAGTAAATAAAAGTAGTTCACATTGTGCTCCCTAGCCTTCGGAGAATTCAGTAATTATTTACATGGCAATGCTTAAATTCGAGCTATGCCCGCGTGGTGCTTTTTTTTATTTTTTTTAAGCTCTAAACTCTCTCTGCTATCGTTGAGGCAGAGGTTTAACCTTATTTTTATTACATCATTGGATGGTGGTTTAAAGCCCAAACAGGAATTTTGACGGCTCCGTAATCGTATCGTCATCGTCAAATTTTGTATAGAAATTAAGAGTTCTTACGTCCCCTACCGGACGTAGAAACAAACTGTTTCCTTCCATAATAATGTCTTTAAACCACCACGCAGTTTAGTTTGTTCTTACGCGTACGTCCGTTAGCATTGCCCCGCTGATTAGTTTCTTAGAAACTTTGACGATGATGTGCCTTGTGCCCTTAGTACGAGTTTGAGCTCACGAAAACTATCATAGTTTTCGTAATTGTAAATAATGTTTCTATGTCCATTTTGGTGAAAAGTGTCCAAATATACTTAAAATTTAAGAAGACACAAAGGATATAATGATTGAATTTAAACATTGTTTATTTGTACTAAAACGAAAACAATAAAATCAACGAGTGCGAGCTCTCGAAAACTATCATAGTTTTCGTAATTGTAAAACTCATACTAAGGGTACTGGAACCTTACTCAAAGACAAACGAAAATACGAGTTTTACAATTACGAAAACTATGATAGTTTTCGTGAGCTCGCACTCGTTGATTTTATTGTTTTCGTTTCAATACAAATAAACAGTGTTTAAATTCTAGCATTAAATCATTTGTAAGACTCAAATTTAAAGTATATTTGGTTACTTTTCACCAAAATGGACATAGAAACAAAGAAACATAATTTACTATTACGAAAATCTGCATATCAATGATTTGATTCCACTTGCGAATATTCATTGCTATGCAGACGATAGCACAGTGCATGCGAGATACTTTGGACACGCGGCGGCTGGACAGGTAGAAACCATGGAGAAACGGGAGAATCTTGTCGTTGAGCTCAATCGGGCTTTAGACCACATTTCCGAATGGGGTACTAGGAACTTGGTTGAGTTCAATGCCAAGAAAACTCAGGCTTGCGCTTTGCAAAAACATCGCCATTCCTTCCCCTTCCCTCTCTTCAGGGCACAACACTGGCGCTACAGAGCAATATTACCATGCTCGGTATGGAAGTTCGCTCAGACCTGAATCCAAAGGACTACATCGAAACGTTGATCAAAACAGCTCAAACTCGGAGTCCTGAACAAGGTGCGGCGTTTTTTCACGCCCGATCAACTGTGCTTGTTGTACAAAACACAAGTGCGGTCCTGCGTGGAATATTGCTCGCACCTCTGGGATGGCTCCGCAAAGTACTTACTCGATGCCTTGGATAGGTTGCAGCGGCGCGCTGCCCGCATCATTGGCGATGAAGAGGCAACTAAGAAACTCGAGTCTCTACAATTACGCCGTGATGTGGCATCATTAAGCGCATTCTACCGAATATACCACGGCGAGTGTTCTGAGGAGCTATTCTTGCTTATCCCTCCATCACCTTTTCTTCAGAGGACCACGCGCGCTGGCCTACGTTGCCATCGACTTACTGTGGCCACTATTTCTACACGAACAAAGAAATTTGGCGACTCATTTCTTTGTCGTACTATTCGTAAGTGGAATTCTTTACCCGCGCACGTGTTCCCTCCTTCCTATAATCTGGGGTCCTTTAAGAGAGGCGTGAAGAAGCATTTTTACGGGCCGGCAAGGTGAGGATGGTTGGTGTAGCAGTTAATAACTGCTGTACCAGCTATCTTCGCGTTTGGACTTTATCACCACTTAACATCAGGTGGGGTAGAGTCATTTGCCTACCTAGTAATATAAAAAAAAAAAAAAAACTATGATAGTTTTCGTGAGCTCAAACTCGTACTAAGGGTACTGAAAGTTGAGGGCAAATAGTATTTTCCGTTCAAATTGGAGCATTCATTTGTAGATGTACCTAAAGTATATTACAGCAAAATAACACAGGTTTTGAGGTGTCGTGTCTGTTGATGAGTGTTTTCCAGTACTCCACGGCGTAGAGGTTGGATTTACTGAACTTTTGATAGAAAAATGCAAAGGACACAATTTATAACATAGACAATAGAAACGTTCTTTCTTATTCTCGAGAACATGCGCAAACATTACAATATGTGTTTATCCTTTCATTATAAGTACTAAGTATGATTTTCTTGCACTAAGTCAATACAAGTGAAGATAGTACATAGTGTACAATATAGTTACTATGCATTTTTTTAAATACGTTCTTTTGTAATGCGATAACAACAGAACACAGAAAGATGTTAGAAGTGTTTTACATAGTCCGCTTGTACGGGAACCGATGTCGCCGGCTCGACCCCACTACACTTCCATCTAATTGATAATAGCGAATCAAACGACGCGATATCAAACAATCGAACCAACCAGCGCTGGCACCCGAGAGCAACAACGCAATCAGAACCAAGTTTTGGTCAAGTTATGAGCATTTGATCACACATAACTGTGCGCGCCTGCCACGCCCACAAGGCCCTTCTAACCCCTTTCTGTGTCCTGTGGCGTTAACAGTTCAATACCGCCTTATTTCGCTTCATAACGCACATGATTGATTTTTTATCCCTTTGAAATATGGAAGCAGCTATCGAAACCTTACTTTTCTACAACCGCGAAAGTAATAAAATATAAATTTGACGATGGCAAGAGACCGGACGGTATGAGTTTGATTTCATGGAAGATGGGCCGGGTGCTAGTATGGGATGCAACCTATCAGACACGCTGGCCCCTTCCCATCTACATGGAACCAACAACAGAGCTGGTGCGGCTTGCGAAGCGGCTGAAAAAGCTAAGGCATGCAAATACAGGGGTCTAGGCTCCGAATATGATTTTGTCCCATTCGGTGTCGAGACCCTTGGTCCGTGGGGTCCTTTCGCTGTAAGGCTTTTTAAGGAAATAGCAAAAAGGTTGGTTGACATCACAGGAGACCGAAGAGCTGGCATCTACCTCGGACAAAGAATTAGTCTAGCTATTCAAAGGGGGAACGCTGCCAGTCATTATATATTTTAAGGTTTTTAGTTATAAATATGGCTAAGCATTTGTATTTTTCTGAATTCTAAAAATAAAATATATGGAATTAAAAAAATGACAATTAAAACGATCTCGATTTCAATACAACGTTCTAAATTAAATGTGCGCAATTGATATACGCTTATCATCTCAATTTTTTGATACCAACATTGGATACATAATATAGTAGGTGTGACATACATATCTACATATCAAACCGAATCGTTTCAACAACATTTTCATTATCAAATTTATTTGAACAAAAACCAAAACACATCAATTGTTCGTTATAAAGAAGAAAAATACACTTTCATTTGTTTGTCACCTTGTGAAAGTCGAAAAAGTGTGCTACACCTACTCGTTCGTAATTCTAGGACAGGACAGGATCGATAGATCTTGTATTGTCGTGTTGTTGACAATTCTCATAAAAACGTCATGTAGGTGGGTGTTCAGTAGAGCGATTTTGTAAGACGCAATCTCACTTCCGATTTCTGTAGCTGCCATTTTAGACATAAGTTTGGTATGTGTTACGCTATTACACGACAAAATGTCGCAATGTCTGTAGAATCCGCCAGTATTAGATATTTGACATTTGTCTGAAATCCGAAGAAATGAGATCGTAAGTGAGATTGCAGCTTACAGAATACCTATGCTGATTAAAACTAGGCGTTTTTGTTCAACTCCTAAGTACGAGTTTATCATTATTAATTTCTCTTCCTTCAGCTACAGTCGGGCCGTGGGTGCGAGATAATGAAATATCTTCTCCAAACAGTGAGACCAAGATAGAATTAAACACCAACTATGTTACAGTCCAAGAGGAAGGCATCTACCTGGTATACGCTCAGGTAAATATTATATTCATTAAAAGTATTTTTGTTTTCTGTTCTGTTTAAGAAAAGCTACACCGCATGCTCAGTCAGATTATCAAGTTTTTATATTGCAGCATCATTGGCTATCATGTCACAGCTAAAATGGGGAGCTGTAGGGAATAGCATTTCGTTCACATTTTTTGTCCGTGAGTTGCTTAGATTAATACAAAAAAGGTAGATACGGCACTCGCGGCTCAAAAGTGATCCGCTTAAATTGTGGTGAACGATCACAATTTGCTTTTGTCTCAATTGGACATTCATACACGTTGCATGTACACTCAATATAACAATATTGCGTATATTCTGTGTTATAAAGATACAACAATGCCTTCAATGCTTTTATAAAGAACACAAATAGTTCAAATTCAAATAACAAATGCCTAGGCAAACACTTCGCATTTGCAAAACTGTAAAATCATTTTTTTTCTCAAAAATCACGGTTTGTCGTGAATGTTATTTACGTAATCGCCACTTTGTTATCAAGAAAAGGACAACAATACAGCTCAGCCGTTCGCACTTGGAAGCTGATTCGCCGTTTCGCTCGCTCTGCGTTGAAACGTACAGTTCTGTCTCGCTCGCTCTATGTTGTGAATGTTTATATACAGACGCGTGTGTGTGTGAGAGTTGCTTATGTAGTTGAGTCAGAACATATTTTATTTGATGCTAGTATGAGCGTACTGACTGCGAGTTGACTGCATTCAGCCATCACAACGCACAGGACCATATTGATTCACGTGACTTGCCTCCCAGACGAGAGGGATTTCTATAGCCTAATATATAAAAATATATTAAACTAAACTACTTAGTAGTTTATTACTTAATAACTACACTGCGCTAGCTACGTTCCTATTTATGCTATAATCTCCTGTCATCGTTATGCAACAATGATAAACTTATGAACTTGTATCTTTAACCACTGAGGCACGTGTTCTTGTGGTATATTTTAAATAAATAACTTCCAAGTTAAAGTATTAGGTACCTAACTAGCAAACCAGTGAACCAAATGTTCACCAAAACCTGATTTCTCGAAAACCGGAAGTGCTACGTTACTCAAATCCGGTTTGTAGTCTTATCAGACTATTCTTAACTTATAACTTAAATATTCTCTTTATCTATCTCTTACGGTTTGGCCGCTGAAACAGCACCACAGACAGACGGACGGACTTGTCTAATAGATAAGAGATATTAATTGTTACTCATTCTTAGAAAATTTCATCGTGAAATTTTCCCGAGCCACACTGCAACTACAAGTAGCCTCACTTGGTGCTAAGAGCCACGCTTCTGGCTTATTGATTAACCATGGTAATCACACGTATCAGATTATTATTATCACAGGTCGCCTAAATGACTTGCATCGTATCTTCCTCCTAGCACCTTTTCGTATTGAAAAAATATTTTTGAGTTGGATAGTTCATTTATAACGTTATAACGTCACGCTTCCATCACTAAGAGCGGAGCATCAAGTAGCCCCCCCCCCCCCCCCACAACCCAGTGTGACTTAGTAAATGCTAATGACTGCAGATGGAGCCGTAACCAACGGCTTAACGTACCTTCAGAAGCACAGAGGAGCTCCAGATAATAAATTTTGGTCACCCGTCCTATGACTCGGCAATGCGGAAGTTTCTTAACTTGCAAGATAGCAGATCGAACGCGCTAACTATTGCGCCTTCGAGGTCCTCAGCTCACGAAGGACAGTAGAGCCATAGGGTACGGTCAGAGTGCACTCAGATTCAGATTCAGACTCAGAGAACAAGCGCGAGAAATAAACAGTGTAGTTTAATCAGGGTGGCCATAGTGGCAGCAGGCAACCTGCTTAAACTACACTGTATATTTCTCGCGCTTGTATTCAGATTCAGATTCTGAAAACAAGCGCGAGAAATAAACAGTGTAGTCTAAGCAGGTTGCCTGCTTTTTCTCGCGCTTTGTTTTCTGAGTCTGAATCTGAATCAGGAGTGCACTCTGACCGTACCCTTCGACTACACTGTTTATTTCTCGCGCTTGTTTTCGGAATCTGAATCTGAATCTGAGTGCACTCTGGCCGCACCCATAGGCTGTACTCAAACTAGCGCAGAGCCGAAGCGTCGTGTCGCATCATGATTGTCGCCTTGGCAATACCTTAACTGTAGGAAAATGGAGATGAATTTGCTACAAGTGAAAAACTTGAAACATGGTATGAAGGAGTCGCGTGTCGAATAGTTAGGAATACCTTAATGTTGGGAAAATCGATATGAATATGCTACAAGCGAAACCTTGACGCGTCATGGCCTGCGCCAATGTGAGTTGAACCTTTGTATTGTAAGAGGATAAGGTTAGCAATCTTTGGGTAGGGAACAAAATCCTGAAAATTTTACCATTGAATTTCTGGCCAAGTACTGGAGGCGATCGATCGATACTATGGAGAAAATACAAAGATACCTTTCACACGTACTACTACTTCGGTGTACGGTATGTGTTTAGTCACACGCTGAATCACTGCGGGCTTTAAACTGTTGTCTTACCACTGACGGCCTTATAAACCGCTATGTAGGTATTACGCTGCAACGGAATCTTAACAATTTCTTTAAATGACCTATTTTGGGGTTCCGTATTGAAATGGTCCACTATGTGTCCGTCCACCGATCAGCATGAACCGTATTAGGCAGTTCGAATTTTCTAAGCGTATATTTCTGTGATCGCTATAATTTTCAGAAATAAAATTATAATAAAATATAAAAAAATAACACTTGGATAGAAATTAGACAATTTTGTGATAAATATTTTACGATGTCGATCCTTCGTCCACCTACTCACGGTCGTGGTCACTTTTACGTTACTTTGCTATCCTCTGCAATTTACACCATTTGCCGATTAAATATTTTGATTGTAGTATTTTCCTTATTTTCGAAAACATTTTAGGGCTTAAAATTTATAAATAAAATATAGGTATTTTTTCATATTTTTTGAATCGTATACTGTAAATGCAACGATTCCCAGAAATTATAAACCAAAGACGTGAACGATTGCAACTTTCATCGTTATTTTCAAAGTAGTTTCAGGAAAACAACATAATATTATAAGATGTTTATATGAGGACAAACATATAATTAAGCACATTCATCGGGGGCATCTTTATCACTTTCACGCAAGCAACCTTCTCTAGTGAATGAAAGAGAGAGAGAGAAAAAAAGAAAATGAATACCTAAAAACAAAAAAAATCGACCTTTAAATTGCTGTATGTATTGTCGTATGTAAAAGAAAAAAAAATATGTTACGTGTTGATGTTTGAGGTACAGGATTACTTATTTCTTATGGCAGGTCCTTACATACGAGCAGGTGTTCTTACAGCTAATACCCAGCTGGTAGGGTCTCGGTTGCAACAATGAACTTTTGGAATACAAAGGCCGTAGCTTGGGAAAAGAAATCAAAGATGGTGATTCGACTGTGAAACCATGTCAAGATAATGTTACGGAACCTTTCGTATCCTAAAGACTCCGCGCTGGATGATAACGTCATCTAAAACAAGATACAGTAAAATGTTGTAAAACGTAAGAATCTATTTCAGTCTAGTGTTTATTGAATTGATAGATTATCAATCATTATTGACACGCAGAGATGCATTCGATGCGTTTTAAATGTCAATAAATAAATCAACCTAAATTCCGTAATCACTAACCACTTGTGGTTTCACATTGACGTAATTGGTGTTCGTAATGTAAGTACTTTGGTAAGTGTGGTGATTGGTGACAAATAAGTTTTTTTATGTATAATGGAAATAACATACAAATTTCCTTGTAATCATACAAATTGTAACATTGTCTTAACCAGACGTTTGAGGTCCATTACTAAACATAGGCCGCTATGGTACAGCTTTTTGCTGTTTGCTGACTACCGCCATCTTTACTGCCATGTGTTGGCATGTGTATAATGGAAATAATATAGACATTTCCTTTTAATCATACATTATGTAACATTGACATCAATTAGGCGTTTGAGGTCCACTACTAAACAAGGGCCCCTCAGATCCAGCTTTTCGCAGTTTGTCGAATACCGCCATCTAAACTAATACTGTCTGTCCATCTGACGGCAGGCCTGGCCTACCCACAGAACTAACCCCTTAGATTAAAACAAAAAAGGAAGATACGGAACGCTCATACTAGCATCAAATAAAATACGCTCCGACTCAACTACATAAGCAACTCCCACAAACGCACACGTCTGTAAATAAACATTCAATCGAGCGAGTGAGACAGAACTGTGCGCTTAAACTAGGGTTGCCGTACGTTACAACTCGTACTTTATTATAAAGTATTGTACGTTATTTCGGGTAATTGTAATCTATACTTTATGCCAACAATAAAGTACGCGAATATACTTTATTTAATGTGGTTTGATTACCACATTAACTTCGGGGATTAATTTTGAAGAAAATATACAAAAAGAGATTGATCGCAAACATTTTTGCGTAAAACAGACAGACAGTATGTATAAATAATATGTCGCTCTTAACTCATTTTTGCAACATTGTCGTGGCTGTATCATGACCTTTCCCGTTGCGGAAAAAACTACAGATTTTTAGTAGGTACTAGTAGCAATGTACAATATATATATTTAAGCTTACTAAATAAGTGGGATAAAAAGTACTATATTTTGTACACTATGTACTTTTTTTCTACTTTTAATAACCCACATACTTTATTTGGACAAAAAAAAGGTGGCAACCCTAGCTTCAACGTAGCGCGAGCGAATCGGCGAGTCCGCACGGCTGAGCTGTATTGTTGTCCTTTTCTTGATAACAAAGCTTACTTTAAGTAAATAACATTAACGACAAACCATGATTTTACAAAAAACATTACATTTTTACGAATGAAAAGTGTTGCCGTGGCATTTGGTGTCTCATTTTGAACTATATTAATGTAAGGTACAATTCCGTAATGGGCTGCAGGCGACACTGCGGCTGACCGTGCATTATAATATGCACTGTGCAGACGCGACATGTCGCCGCGCTCGGAATCAATTTCATAGAAATTCATAGAAACTAGTGGTGTCGCCTGCAGACTGCAGCTGCGGCCTGTGGTCTGCGGTTCAGTTCGGACTTGTACCTTTATTTATAAAACCATCGAAGGCATTGTTTTATCTTTTTAATACAGAATATACGCAATATTGTTATACTGAGTGCACATGCAGCGTATTTGAATGTCCGATTGTGACTAAAGCGAATTGTGGTCATGCACCACAATTTAAGCGGATCACTTTTGAGCCGCGAGTGCCGAATCCCCATTTTTGTTTTAATCTAAGACTAACCCACAATAATATATGCTCTACGAACAATAATTGCAGTATAGCATGCTCATGACCACTTCAGTATTTGTCAGTAGCTTTTTTTCTTTTGCGGATGAACATGTGAATTTTGTCACGCACACGGTCAGTCCAAAATCTTAATATTGCCTTGACCCAGCACATGTCAGCAGTGAGATAGCTGGTTAGGTGTGCTTTTATTTCATACAACGGTATAACAATTAACAGAAGCAGTTATCATTCGAGTTTATGAATGACGACCGACACTTATATGACTCACGTCCTGAATAGCTTCTTGAGATATTTCATTGTCTATCGATCTTTTTGTCTCGATCACAACGGAAACTAGGAATGCATTAGCAGCGTGTACTAAAGCTGCATCCTTTATTGTCGCATTTTAACCTATTATCTTGTCTAGTTTTTTTTGATCTATGCGTATGCCGAAACTGGCATTAAGATTCACTTGCAGCAAATTTGCAAAATCTTAATCCATACAAAAATGACAAAATGTTAAATCTAGATTTTAAAAAAATCTCATTTTTGCATGGGTCAGTTTTAGTTATATCGATATTTTGATGATTTTCTGCAACTCGACCTTGTCGAACGACCCCTCTAATCTAATCTATGTAAGTTATCTAATCAATGGGTGTGTTAAGCAGCGGCAGAATTTAACTACGGTTCTGTGTAATAGATGTAAATGAAATCAAGGCGTACAAATAATCCATTTTACAATTGATTTAGCTATTGTTAGTTCTACAGAACAGAGACCTCTTTCTCTGTTCTGCCATTTGTTATTCTTATCAAGCAACTGCAAGTGACTCTCGACTCTCAAATTCTTTGTATAGTTATAAAAATAATTAGTGATTCATATTACTGTATATGGAAGTGGGAAGTACTATTTATACACGGTAGTCTAAATACCTTGTAGTGAAACTGTAACGACACAGCGTTTTGTAAGTGTCGTCGTGTCGACCTTGCCGGTCGCCAAATCTAATAGCCGGACAGACCTGCTCGGCGTTTGCTCGTTTGTGAAATGTAAAAAACCTAGCGAAAGCCGGACAAACCGGACACCGTTTATTTTGGTCGGACACGCAATCAAGAAGCCTGGCAACGCTACCCTCATCCCACTTTCATATTTAGTAAAAATAATTTTGTTTTAAAATGAACTGGAGGCCTAATCTAATTCAACGGAATGCGAAATTTCTATATAAACTTCGCACTTTTCTTACTATGTTTCTGGTTCTTTAACTATAATAATATTCGTCGCCGGAATATGGATTGAGGTGTAGATTTTCTAAGCCTACTCAAATAAAGCTTGAATTTGATAGTTTGTCGTTCAAATAAAGTATAACCATGAATTGACGTAATTATATTTCGTTTTAAATTCGTTATCGAGTGTTTGGTTCGGAGAAAGAGAGTAGACCCCCTGAGTCTTACACAGCATAAACAAGACCGTCCTATCGTATCTTAATCCCGGAAGAAATAAAATAAATAAATTGTAACAACACATAAATTGAGTAACAATGTCGATCTATTGTCGTTGTAGTTCCTAAGTGATCTTGTTTATAAATTAAGAACATTGAACTGCGTTGTTGCTTTTTTTGTCGAACCTTCTTCCGTTATTGGATTCGAGATAGAGTCAATATCGTCATTATATGCATAAGACTCCCATGGATCTCCACATCAATCGGTCGTATCAGAGCAAATAATAATATAGTCAAATTAATATAAGGAAGGGAGTTTTACAAATGTCGGTTTAAAGGTATATCTTTCTTACAGCTGGTATACCTCACTCAAGCCCCCAACTGCTACTTCATCTTTGCGAATCAGATAGGGCAGTCTGCGCCACGTCTCCTGACCACGTGCGCGACAGGCGACGACTCCTCGCGCCGGCCGCTGGACAAGTCGCAGATATCTTGCTCCGTGCAAACTGTCGCGCGACTGTTCAAAGGCGACCAAGTGAACATTGCCCAGCGCGAACACAATAGAACCCTCTTGCTAAAACCCGGTTACTCCTACTTGGGATTCATCAAACTAAGTTCCTAGTTATGGCTGTGCTAATCATTAAGGAAAGGTATGAAATATAAAGCGTTTATTCGCAAGTTGAAGATTGAAGATCTTAGTCTGTAGGTATGATGATCAGTAGAGATCATGGATGGTGCTATAATAGTGAGTTTATGATTTGTAATGTTGAGAGTGATAAGAGTGCCATAATGTACACTAGCGAGCAACCAAATCGACTTGACCGTAATTCCACATACATACATTGAGTTTTGTAAAACTGTACAAGAAATTCAGAAAAAACAAGTCATTTGAAAGACTGAAATTTCAGCTTTAATGACGGAATGTCAATATCCTTTCATATATTTTTTATGAATCGTGGCCGAACATAAAATGTTAGAAAAGAGTATTTTGGTCAGGAATTTTTCAAATTAAGAAAGTTCGTGCTTGGTGTACAGAACCGTGCCATTGCGTAACCGGCACCCTCCACGGAGCCCCCCCCCCATCATTGAGAACCCCCCCCCCCGGTTCAAGACCTATCAAAATTTGTGGTCTCCGATCAAAAGCACCAGTCTCTTGAAATTGTGTGTATAATCAATACAGCAGTCTGGCTCAAGTAAACAATTAATGCAATTTACGGAGATGTGTAACCCGGTTGCCATGGCTTTTTTCGGGTGACAGATAGCGCAAGTCGCGGGTAGTGCAATGATCAAAGTTTACTCATTTACGTCCTATAAATGCTTAAATGGATATATACTAATATAATACGTACGATTTTTTAAAGATGGTGATTTTTATTGAAAGCTTAGTTTCAAGCTTTAAAAAAATTTTTTTTTTATGATTTCTTATATGATTTTAGTACATTCAAGGTATGTTAGCGCAGGTGAGTCGATTTGGTTGCTCGCGAGTGTATGTATAATAAATAATTAATGTAAAGATTACGGATGCATCACATTGACGAAATGTTCTTTCTTAATTAATGTGGGTTCCAAAAAATGTGTTGTACTTGTTTATTGTTTAGTATAGTGCCTTTTGGTATTTTTTCTATTAATATGATCTCCTTAATATTGATCGTCGAAAATGAGCTTACTTGTTGTAAGTGCCAAAGCAATGAGTTATAATAATTCTTAAACATTATTGCAGTTCATTATTGTCATAGGTACCTACGTACGTAAGAAGTAATTTAGGGCGGTAATTTGAGTCATTATCTGTAGATTAGATGTAATTTAAACTACTTATATGATATTGCTCAAAATGTTATTATTAATTAATTATTTCTATATACTTGTTACGTCGAAATCGACACACGGTAGATATTCGCAATTAATGTGTGTTGTATTATTTTTGTACGTAGTTGCTGTTAAATCTAATTAGCGATAGTATTCGAACCAACGAAGTTTTGTATTTGATTTATTATTTGTATAATATTTATACAGTGCATATCAGTAACACCTATTGTAGTTAAGCTATTCTTAAAAATGCAAATACTTTAGACCTCTTTTCTAATGCAAATTGTACTTAATTAAAAAACCAAAAACAGCAAATCTTATTTGAAATAATTGGATAGCAAGGGGCCAACCTTGCACCTTGTGAAATACTCCCACCATACCTGGACCCTTTATATAGAGTCGAATATCTAAGGCAACAAAAAAAATCACAATCGGCCATGATTTTTGGCCGCGTCCAAATCGCCAGTCTTTTGAATAGAAGCGACTGGAGGATTCATGACTCTGATGATGGAAAAACATAGAATATGCCGGTTTGCATGGCGTAGGGGTGGACGAACGAAGGGTAGCAAATAAGAAAAAGGAAGTATATGAAGTAAAGAACAAAGTTCAAAAGACATTAAGAAGGGTTATCCTATGAACCCTTCAGTAGCTTCTATTCAAAAGACTGAAGGTTTGGCCGCGGCCAAAGTCATGGCCGATAATTGTTTTTTGTTTGCTACCTTGGACGTCCGACCTTTTGTAAAGGGCTCAGGTGTTGTGGGAGTAACTTACAAGGTGCAAAGTTACAGAGTCCAAAACACCCGCATGGTAAAAAATTAGTACTAGGGTTGTTACAAACTATTCAAAAATATGCTGGTAATATTTATTTATAAATTAACATGGTGAACGATAATGTTGGTCTCGTATGATTAAGTCTTGACCTAGTCTAATTTCTTACATTTTTGTTTCGTTTTAAATAGAGGGAAAGAGGTTGATTTGCTTAATTTAGGATTTATGATTTGAATTTGTTCAATAAATGAACATTTGTGATTTAGATATTTGATGTAATTAGTTTATGTAGTGTAGCACTATAATACATACTATGGTAAAAGTTATATAAGTACTTTTGTACAAGTCTTCCAAATACGGAAAATTAGGATAAGGTGTGTAAGAAAACTGTAAGAGAACAATACCACAAGTAAGTGGCGTTACCATTCAAAAAGAAGTATGTTATTTTGATTATTTTATTTGATAGCCTGCACTGAAAATAACATTTCTAAATGTTTACACTGAAGAATTGTTCTATTTGCGAAATTATTCAATGAATATTGCTCACGGGTTACAATAAAAAAAACTCTTAAATATTAATATCTTTCATTCATCATCATCAATCAATTAATGCCTCCACTGCTAGGTCACTGGCCTTCGATATGGATGGAAGAGATTGGGCCATAACTAACCACGCAGGCTACAGATGCAGTCGGGACCAACGACTTTACATGCCTTTCTAAGCACAAAGTAGTTCAGGATTATAAATTTTGTGATCGAAATTTGTTAATATCAAAGTGGCTTCTTTGAAAATTGCAGACCGAACGCGCTAACTACTTGACCCATCGAGTTTGTCGTTCCTGCTTTCTTTCATTAAAGCTTTTATTACTGCTTTTATTTTAATTTTTTCGTTCATCTTTAGCATGCAGTAGTTATTACATATTTAAAAGGCGGAACTGCACCGCAGATTGACTGAGCGACACGACGCGAGAACATATTCTTAATATGAAATTATAATATAATATGCTCTAAGAATTATATGAGACAACACGCACTAAGTGGCAACGGAACTACCTCGAAAAGGAAAAACGGAACCCATATAGGATCACTTTGTTGTCTGTCAAGGCCGTTTTTCTCAGGAACGCGTTGAGCTTTCAAACTGAAATTCATATCTAATATTCAGGTATACTGTCCCTTGGAGCTGTGAAAAAATTAAACTTCTAAGCCAAAGCAATCAAAAGATACAGCCCTTTATGCCGCAAATTTTCGAAACTCGCACGGTTGTGATGTGATTGATGATGCACTTTCAACCTGGCGAAACCGCAAATCTGCATCTAATGCTAATTGTTTGCGACATGCTTTATGCAGTTCAGATTTTATATTCGCATCTATTTGCTTATCCAATTTACTAGGTAAAAAAATACTTTATTTATTTGTAGCAATTTTTTATAAATACATTTATAATTCATTAATTTATTATTAAAATTTCAGGTGCAACTGTTGCCCTTAGCCGCTTTTTACAAAAAACAAAATAAGATTTGAAAAGTAGCATCAGAGGCTCCGTAAACGAACTGAAGGAAATTTTCACAATTTATTTGTTGAGGCAAAGGAGCTAGCTGAAAAGCTGGATATTGTTATTATGAAACTGTACTGCGCCTAGGCAGACACTTCGCGTTAATTATGAAGGAAATCACGAGGAATATTTTCGGACGACTGTTTATATTCCACTTAAAGCATAATTACTGACCTACAAGACCGACTTTCTGCGGGATACAATAAACTTGTTCGGATTAGGCATTTTTATGCCGAAATCTGAATATACAGAAGAAGATCTTATTGTCGAGAAAGTTGTCTGACTTCTATTCCTATTTTTTAAATGTTCCCGCTGCCACTGTCGTTACAGAGTATTAGCTATGGATTACAAAGTGGAAACGGGAGGTCATAGAAAATGATGATTTATACCCAAATATAAAGACATTTCTCAAAATTCTGGCAACTCTTCCCATAAGTGGTGCGACAGCAGAGCGAACCTTTTCTACGCTTGGGCGTGTAAAAACGTGGTTGAGAGCTAACATGTTAGAAGAGCGATTAACCAACGATTAACAGGTTTAGCTCTTCTAAACATTCACTCGGAAGTAGTACCAGACGTCTCAAATACACACCCGATTCGCAAATACAAAAAGACGACTTCCATTTGTTTTATAAGTAATATATAAATTAAAATAAAATTGGGTCTTGTTCAATAATGTTTATTTTATTCGAGATACCTATTTTTTATTAATGTAGTGAGTAGTGAGTGACCTCCTCCAAAATTTCAGGCTGCGACCGCGCCTGTGTCTAGTTACGCCGAGTGCGGTCTTACCTTAGGCGTTTTGCAGACGACGGGGCGGGGCGGGCATTTTGTCCGCGAAGTAATAAAAACCGCGTCTGCCCGTCGATGTCTGCGGCTGCCCTCGCCGCGTACACAAAGCACACGACGGGCAGAGGCAGTCAGTTCAGGACGTTCGTTCTAGTGAATAGTCCATCACTAAAAAGCGCGTGGCGCAGACTGAGCTAACCGCCCCGCGCCGCCGTCTGCGTTACTGCATATAAACTGGTTTGTATGATCCACGGCGGGCAGCCGCGGACATGCCGCGCCGCCAGTGCCCGTCGAGCACCTGCGGCGCGGTCTTTTTGCCCTCTGTGTGCGTTTGTAATATAGGATTCACTTTGTGCTATCGTTCGCGGCGAAATTGACCGGACCGCTCCGCCCCGCCGTCTGCAAAGCGCCTTATAGTTTAAAAAACCGACCTTATCAACAAACGGTTTACAAAAGTTGTTGTTGTTTCAGTGGTGAAAGCTCGACTGCTACGCAGGCGGCCAGGTTTGATTCCCAGCCGAGGAAGGATTTTAGTAATTATTTAATCATAGGACCTCAACCCCCTTATTAATAGACAAGGAGTAAGATTAAACTAGTTACGCTTTGTTTTGTTCATATCTAGGGCCGGATTTAGAGGCGTGATTTGCTATTTGTGAACGAACAGAGGCAAAACATGGAGTAACTTATCCCAGCTTATTTGTTGTTTATTAATACCCCCACTATATTGGTTTTATTATAAATACTTATAATCATTCATTTGAAGATAAACCCGGAAGTAAGGCAATAGTTACTATTTAAACTCTATTCAACTAATGCCCGGCACACTTGTTTCCAAACTTTTTTATCGAGATGATGATGAACAGATGGTCGCCGTAACCAATTACCAGACTGAACACAAAATTTCACATTTCAGGGTACCGAGCAATCAGGTCTTTTTAAAATCACCTTTTTAAATTATAGTTTTATATGATAAATTCGTCCTATTGAAAAACCTTTATGGTTTGTTTACCTTTTATCCCAGAGAAAGTTAAATAGAGTATAGAGGTCCTTCGTGCTTCTGAATGCATGTGAATTTCTGCTCATGCGGCTTAATCAAGCTGCGCGAGTGGCAATAAAGTTATTATAAAATATATGTATAGATGAACTATCTAAAGAATTATGTAATGTTTTGCTAGAATTAATATTT